TCATCTGAAATCGTCTTGAGAGTTGAGTGGGAACAGCATCCTGGCGAACTACCCTGAACATACCTGCCTAACTGGCTTCACCGGCCGTTTCTCCTTCAGCATTTCCCATGCCAAAGTCGGGTCGGCAGTGTATTGATGGGTGAAAACCTAAACGGTAGTCCACCATTTCCCAAAGCTATAAATATTAAAGCTAAATAGATAAAATAAAATAATAATTTCTACTATAATGACACAGCAGAAGACATGGGATTAGAAAAAACGGTGTTCATGCGCTGCGTCTAATCGTTAGTGTATACTTCTTCCGCTACATGTACAGTACCTGATGGTCAGAGTACAGAGAAACAGGATTTGTCTACGTGTCTTATCGACTGTATGTACAGTACATGTCTAGAAAGGGGTACATGATGGGTATGGGCAAAACTCACGACTTCTTCAACATTGTTTTCCTTTACCAGTGTCAAACTGGACAACCTCAATCCACCAACAGAACCTACCCGTAATTGCATACGGGATAGGCTACTCTGAAGTTAATAAAGGCCAATATTATGACAAGTACTAATGATCTTACATGTACGTTTAGTCCAATTGGTAGTGAGTCTTTACGTACGCTGCTTCGTTTAGCACGATGTCGTTCAGAATCACGAAGAGCAGCTTTTTCTTTTAATACCGATGATGCACCAGCAAAATTACTACTGTTCGAAAACATTTAGTTCGCTGAAAAACTGGTAATACCCTTGGAGAACGGAGAAGACGACACGGTGGAATACAACGACGAATCGGGTGAAGGGAGCGGATATCAGTAAGGAAGAATTTATGAAGCATACGCGGTCAAAGGTCGAAGGTCGAAGGAAAGAAAAGAATCTACGTGATTGTAAAAACAAGCATGGGTTTCTGGGTTTCTGATGATAGGCCGAAGATAGTGGAGGGCCGACAGGCGCCCATAGTCCTTACCATAACCTGGGTGTCAAATCTTCAATTAGCCATTCGCAAAGGAGGCTTGGAGAATCAGTAACAGGCTGAGGAGTTGAAAAGTGACTTATATTTCCCTTGGCCCCCACATCTAGTCGAATAGGTAGGTCCAAGTTACATCCGAAAAACTCAACAAAGTCGTGATCATACACTTCTTTGACTGTATTTTAGAGCACTCCCTGAATACATATACTTTGGCTTTAGTTTTTAATCTAGAATATGGCCCAGCCCTGAGTATCAACTAAAATCGACCGTCAAGCTTTGTCATCTCGCTCTAGACCAATAAGTATCGAAATATTGACTTCATTTACAAAAATGTATCAATATCAGACAGAAACAGTAGATCTCAGCAAATGGTGGACAAGCTTTCTATAGTTGTACTCTTCAGAACCACCGTGATTGCCTCTCCATGGATCCTAGTGTATACGGGAAGGAGGGGGTAGTACTAGAAGCAAGGATGTCAAAAATAAGCTGAAATTCTAGAAGGACGTTCGCAATCAGAGAACAGGGCCCCTCTGCTGCATGCGTTCAGCAAAAAAGGTTTTTTGAAAAAGCTTCTCTGAAAGATAGGCTGTGAGTACGAAGCGTGCCTGCTTGCTTGAGGGTGTAGGTACGAAGGAATTTTTCGGTACGATTTTACGATTTCATCTCTGTTGATAGATTTCTTCTACAGGTGAGGGGAAGCGTGAGGGGCTGCATACGGTCCCAAAATATAATAAATTGATTCCCTTCGCAAATATGGCTGGCGAGAGCACCACTCGATTCATGACTTATTGTCCTTAAGCAGGTAGCGGTGACGTTAGTTCCTCTGCCTCGAAAGGTTACAATAAATTAGTTTCCAAGACCGATTCCCATCAACACATTGGGATTGGGCTGCCAATAGAATCCATAGGTCCAGCCCCTAACTCAATAACTAGAAGCGAAGTGAACAGAAAGAAGAAGACTGAAGATGAAGACTACAAATTACTGTACTAAACCGGAAAACAAGCACGAGCAACATCAAAGTTGTTGAGGAGTTTGAACAACATGTAGGATCTGTGGAAATGTCAAGGAAAAACAGAATAACAGGATCAATGTGTCAGAGTTGGCTTGACAGACGATCAGTGATTGATTGTGTATTCATTCAAGTTAGAATTGTAAAAAATTCTGTTCCCGAGAGGTTCCCGTATGGGTCAGAGGAGCTATGGACCACCTCTGATGAAAGTAGGTATGCCAGGTAAGATTGATGGTGCCGTGGAAATTTTGGGTTTCAGCTCGGATTACAGCCCGCTTGGTGTACAACGTGCCGGAAACTTTGTGGTCCGACTTTAGGGAACAGAGAGGGGCAAGCAAGTATGACGTCCGAGTAGTTCCCATTTATCCTTAAGAGAATTGGACTTCCAAGCCATGTAAATGAGCTTTCCAGAGCCATTAGTCCCGTAGGCCACCGGAGCGAATTCAGGAAGCGAAAGGACATATGACATTTGAGAAGGAGTACAAGGACCAAAGGCTTGAGTCTCCTAGAAAGCTCTGCAAAAACGAGTTGACGAAAGAGCAGCGATGTAAATAGCAAAGCTGACGAGAGGTATCGAACTACGAGGAACAGCGTGGAAAACATCAGCATTACAACCGTCTCGTATACACAGATCTATCACTCCCGGTAATCCTAGAGACGATCGACCTCAGCAGGAATCTGAAGCGAAGGCGAAAAAAAGCGATGAAATAGGAAGGTGATTAAATGATTAGGATGAACTCTAGGAGTAATCTCGAAGTACAGCTCAATTGAGTCAGCAATCAGCTGCTGAAAAGCAAAGCCTTGGTCGACGTTGTTCTCAGGGGGTCACCAATTAATATTTCCTCAGAGACCCTGATCAGCAGCACCGCCAGCAGAATATTAATAGCCTGGGGCCCCAAGAGTTCCGACGAACTTTACTGCAAATAAAACAATTCCAGAGGGCAAAGAAAAGAAAACATCCTTGGGAGTGAGAGAATTTCTTCAAATCGTTTGCCCTCAACTCATGACTTTTGAGGAGCTATCGATGTAGAATTTGGTGCTTTCGCCTCCCTCTCGAGCCTCGTGTCGGAGGAATAGACCACCTGCTGGGTTGAATACGGTCTGATAACTGATTCCCCAGACATACATGTGGTAACGACATCGCTTGCCCAACCCTAACTGCTCTTTTTTCGCTTAGCTATAAAGTCAAAATGGTTACATGAAGTTCGTTGATTCCATCATTCCAAACAACTTTTGACGTTCCGATCCATACACCATAGCGGTACAAAAACTTCAGTGCCTTTGAAACACTCCAGAAAATTTTCCGATGTTCCAGCCCTGTCTAGTGGCAAGCTGAGCTCATTTCAAATTGCCGATTTCAGATGGTAGTGAAGTTCCGAATATAGGGGGCTTGGATGAAAATTATTCTGCATCACCCTGAACTTCAGTAAAGGTCTGACAAGATCAGGTTCGTCTCGAAACTCACGTGATGAGAGCATTCGTTCAAATAATCACGACGTACATTACATCCGCGAGTGAGAAATCGTTGAAAAAATGACAAAAAATCTCTTGGATATTCTCTATCATCTGGTTGTTGCCATATTTACACTCTGTCACAACTTTCAACCAAAAGGTTCCACCTCTGAGCAGAGAGAAAAAATTTCTAACAGTTTTTTCGACAACTCTTCTAGAAACCCAGTAATTGATAACAGTAAATGACAGTTCATTCTATCATAAGTACGTTGGAAGTCTCTCTACAGCTCCTCTTTGGAAATCTGTCGAAAGTCCAAAAGTTTGTGCCAACAACTCAAAACAAACGACTTCATCATCCGAACCGAGAGCGAACGAAACGACACCGTACATGGTTGTGTTTAAGTTGATCCCACTTCATAAAAGGCAGGAACAGTAAAAACTCTACTCACGTCATTACTGCCTTTCCGTAGTTTATACTTCCGTAATGAATCGTCGCTTTTTCGCCGTTCACGAACTGTTTCTGCCGGTATCAATAGCAATGATGGCCCTAAATAGATGGAAATGAAGCAGAAGTTCAAAAGAACTCAAAAACAAAAAATGTAGTCTGAAAGATAACCTGAGATAAAAAAATAGCTAATTTCGCTCCCGCCCCTGGAGCAGGGAATGAAGATTCAATAATCGAAGGGCTCAATTGTGCGCTCTCACAGAGAAGGAACAGGAATTTTAGAGAGATTTAAATGAACTTCGGGGAATTTCCAGTTAAGCGTAACATTCCTGGCGGTACAGTACTTAAAAGAACGATTTTGTTAGTGCCTTCCCTTAAAACCATTTTCATAGGGAGGGGTGCAGTGGGGAGGGGGTAAGAGTGAAGGGTGTCCTCCTACATGTAAGTTGGTAGGAACAAGACCGAAGTGCAGGAGCCATTCTGAAAGGCAAAGAAATTTGTAACCATAGTACCGGTAGTACAATAGGTAAGAACACCAAAGCATTTGTGAGCTTGTTCGGATTCGAGAACGAGGCCAAATTTGCCAAAAAATCGGTTGGTCACTCAGGTGGCGCTTCTAAACCAGGGCAAATCCTTACTTAGTTGCTTACAAGCGAGTAATCTGAAAGCGGGAACGATAAATCGAGAGCAACATGTTAATTATTGAAATTTTTGCAAAGAATCTGAAATTTAATTGTTCATTTTAGTTAGGATTCAATTGAGCGTAAAAAAAAGGTTTCAATTGAGCGCAAAAAAAAACAGCACAAACTCTTACATGCTTCTTGGCATGTTTCAGCTGCGAAGCTGCCTTAGCCTTATTTAGAAACGTCTCTACTGGAATGGTATGGTAAACAAACAATTACTGACAACAAACAAATCCAGCAAGACAATAAAAATGTAGTGAGCCTGAGACAAATGAGCATTGCAGATAACCCAATAATCAATGGTTGGACATGACCCTTCTCGGAGCACCCTCCCTTTATGACCTCCTTCTATGCTGAAAGCTGCAAGTACAAAAATTATTTTCAAGATTATTATCTTTTTCTCTTCGCTGTTTCCAGGATCAGACGTTTACAACTGAGTGAAACATTGGACTTACGTCTGGCTGAGCTGCTCGATCGTAGGTCGACTTCAATTTCGCCTGATTTCCGCCTAACATAATTGCTACTCTGAAACAGTTCGATGTCAGATCAGCAGGCTAGCATCAACGTGTTCTTTTCTCCACCAAAACTCTTTATCTTAATGGAGAGAAACGGAATTTCCGTTTCTCAAGTTTATCCGGACCACCATTCCAATAACCATTAGCGCCCTATACAATCATTCAATAATTGAACGATTTGAAAAAATAGGTTTTGTTCAGGGAAATACCATGTGCTTTAAATAGAAGCTTATTGTCAACAATCAAAAAATTTATTAGCCGTGACGAGATATTTCTGCCCAATCTTAAGAATCTGACTGGTAACGCTCTCGTGAAACTTGTCCCAGTTGACTTGAAAACATATTTTTAGCTATTCTGGACGAAACAGCTGATAGTGATAGAGTTTTTTCTGTCCAAGAAAGGTTAACAGAATTAGAAGATGGAGCCTAGTCATTGAAAGTGGGTGATCGCATAGGTCCCTAAATAGTTCAATTTGGCATGGCTCGGCTGCGTTGGGTGAGATCTGACATCAGCTTCGTTCCTACAAAACAGCACTTCGATTTGCCCTTTCTCAACAGTGTCAGAGAGTACCGAGTAAAAGCAACTAGTATATCATCCTATCCGCGAAATTTTCTGCGCAATTCGGCTCAAAAATGAAGACTTTAAGTT